TTTTTTTTTTTTTTTTTTTTTTTTTTTTTTTTTTGTAAGATGAGTTTCTTCTGGAAATGTGTGGGTAAGTTGCTGATGGTGTGTTGGAAATGATGTTGTGCTAGTTAAGCGGGAAGGTCACTGGTAAGAGTTGTGTGACTGCAAATAGAACTCTGTGTGCATGGAAACGGACAGAGATGCAGTGTGGCATTCTCCTTGTGAGCATGTGTGAACATCCAGAAAGTTAGCAGAAAGTTCAGTTCAGTTCCAGTCACTAACTTCTGTGCTCTCCAACATGCACGCGTTCAGGGGCGTCCTTCACTCCCCATGTCACTAGTTGTCTTCCTATGTGTTTCTGCTTCTTTACTGCGCTGTTTTCCCCCTGGATCCTCAATTCCAGAGGAGAGGGGAGCGGCTTCAGAAAACTCCCTGGTGTATCCATTTCTTTTAAAATGCTAAGAAAAAACCTGAAGTGACCGAGAAGAGAAAAATCGAGGCTGGACAGCCACAAATGAGCCAATAATATTGTTTTCACAAGAATCCTGCCTGGAGAGATTTTGCCCTGTCCAGATAGGCCTGCGCCGACTTTTGGCCAGCTGTATCCAAACATCGTTCACAGCTAGCAAATGAGTTATCAGGGTAACAATTTCCTAACTGCACCAGACCCTCGGTTCCAGTGCCCTAGATTTTGTTTACATGGCACCAGTGGTGGGCTCATGCTTTCTACATGTGAGTATTTCATCGTCCAGTGAAGAGAAGAAACAGTAGCTGACACAGAGCTTTTACCATTGCTGTGTAAATATTACTACAGAAATGTTCCGGGGCATTTCTTCTAACAGTGACGTGACTGAATCTATAGGAGGCGCCAACCGGAGGACGTGGGCGACCTCAAGACGTTCCTTTTTGCGGCTTGATACCGAGTGGTAACATTTTTTTCAATCAAGAAGTTTTATTGGTAGGTTTTTTGTTTTGTAAAGAATGGGTTTTTAGAACACTAAAGTATGATAACTCGAAACAGGACAAATACAAAGATGATTAAATTATTAAATACGCTCTAAAAGATCATAATTCAAACCACTAATTATAATCATCGTGCCTGGATACAAGCAACTTCATGAAATCCAACCACCTTCTCACAAAGACTATGGAGCCTTGCCACAAGTTCAATGGTTTAACTTACAAAAGTCATTGCTGGTCCCTTTGTGTCTGCGTGCACTCTCGCAGACAGCGCAGAATCCAATCTACAGGGATTTTTAGTTTTCTTCAAAATGTATCTCAAGCATCTTTTAAAATGCGAATTAGTGACAGGCTGTACCCTTAGAAGATGTCGGAGACAGCCAGCCAGCCCTGCCCCGAGTGGTTACACAACTAACCGAAGGACACTGGCGGGGCTCAGGGGGCTGCTTTTAGTGCAGCGACGTCCTCCTCGGTAGCCGAGTTCTTAGTTCCTATTATACCAGCCGAACACGTATTGCAGTCCACGTGGGTATGAGACTTTCAGCTTTTTTTGGCGTCTGTCTTTCAGAAATAACCTGGTCGTCCCTAGCAGGAGTTTTGTCTGCTGTAGCGAGAGGTCTCGTCCTAGGAGTCCTTCCAGCTTGCGCTGGCGTAGCTAAGGTTGAGCTTGGCGGTGCAGAGGAGCAGCGCCTTCTGCTGTAGGAAACTGCGGTAGGCGTACGCGGACGTGTGTGTCCCCGGGTGTGCACCTCCTCCTGCACGCGCTGTCAAGGTCCCCATGCCTCCGGCCAGACGGTCCTCCCTAGAAAGACCTCACTGCACAAACACCTGGGAAGCCATTTCACGGATGCACCTCACCACCCTGGACATTTACCTCTGGGGTCTAGATCCAGCTTCACCGGGCCGCTAGGCGTAAACAAGTCTTTACCCATGACAAATAAAAGCAATGGCAAGAACCCAGTGCAAAACAAAGTCGCGCCGCAGCCAAAGGTGGGGGCTCTACATGAAGTGTGGCGCCCAGGCCCGTGGATGGTCACGAGCCTGTAACTGTGGGGCCGGCCGAGGGCAGAGCGTGCGGGCTCTGTGCTCGCAGAGGGCTTCAGATCCGCAGACTGTGCGGGTGTTAGTTTGGTTTCTGAGCAGAGCTCACGAGTCTGAGCTGGCCGCTGAGGACCCTTTCTCTTCTTGTTCTGTGGTATAGAGGTTATGCTCGTGGCACCTGCTCTCCAGAGAGCCAAACTTGTTAAACTGGCTTCTCAGAATAAATATAATTACATCTGGTAGTGCCCTGAACAGGAAGCAAGGGGAAAGAAAATAAGAGCGACAATGCAGTAAGAAATGTCCAAGTGGCCCCTGAGTTCTACCAGCCAGGCTAATGTTTAATTTTAAGACACCCTTCTCTCCGCTCTCTCCTGAACTGTTTCTTGTGCTCCTGCTACTGCTTTTCCTTCCACACTGTCCCGTGAACGGTGGAAACTTTCTCACTGCTTTTCTCCTTGCCTTTTGGCTAACAAACTAAACCAGGTGGACTCTGTTTCCTAATTTTCCTTGATTTCATAGATAAGAACTACAGATAAGAACTTCTCTCTCTGAAATTTTCCCTCTTCTGGCTTGTTTGCCTAGGCTTTTGTCAACCAGCCACACACTTGTGTCTCTTCCAAGTTTTAAGGGACTTGTTTAACTATGATTTCCCCACATAAGTGCTCATGAAGCTCTGGGAAGCCTGGAGAGGGGGTGAGGTGGGAGCTGGGAGAGTTCTCTGCATAGATCTTTCAGGCACAGAGGTTCTGGCTGAATAAATTACACTGTTCTGATTAATAGCAATAATAAAACACAAAATGGCATGAAGGAATCATAATATGGCTAACGTAACACATGTACAAACCTCATATCATATAAGTGATACTTCTGACTTTTTAATCTTTTTATCAAGTCATTACAATTTCAGATCACATATTTAGGGTCATTAACTGAAAATCACTACATTTTGTTTCAGACTAAGCACAATTAAAGGAATGGGTAGTGCTGACCATGGAACCACAGACTTTTCAAGCAAGGGCAAAACATAAATTTGGCAGATACATAGGAGAGAGTAGCTGTCAGCTTTCTTCAGAAAGAACCAGAAAATCCTAGCTACCTGGGAAGCTGAGGCAGGAGGATTTAAAGTTCAAGGTCTGCCTAGTATAACATGTCCTAAAACTTAACAAGAAACTATTATCTACAATCCATCTGGAAGCAAATTGGGAATTAGATTAATAGAAGAGGATGGGGTGGAAAAATATTTTTATGCTATAGTGTTTAGTGCTATTTTTGTACCATAAGAATCAATGTGGAGATTTCTTAAAAAATTAAAAGTAGAGGTTCCATTTGACCCAGCTATTCCTTTTCTTGGTATCTTTCTTGAATTAAAAGCATTATTCCACAGTGATATGTGCACACCCATGTTTATAGCAGCAGAGTTGTAATAGCTAAATCTTAGACACAGCCCAAATGCCTATCAACTGACGAATGGATAAAGAAGATGTGGTTTTTTTTATACAAAGGATGAGCTTCAGACATTTTTACAGCTAAATGGTTAGACCTTGAGACCATACTCTTAAGTGAGATAAATCAGACACATGTTTGAATGCCATGTTGTCTCTCTGCACTCCCACCACAGCCCCGCCAGCATTTATTGTTGGTTGATTTCTTGGTAACAGCCATTCTTTCTGGAGCGAGGTGGAATCTCAGCACTGTTTTAATGTCATCTCTCCAGTGACCAGTGATGTTGAACATTTTTTCATATATTTATTTGCTATTTCTACTTCATCGGACAGGTGTCTATTCATTTCAGATGCTCAATTTTGGATTGGGCTTTTTAATTGGGGGGTATCTTTTGAGTTCTTTATATATTTTAGATAATAGTCCTTTGTCTGAGGAACACCTGGGGAAAAACCATTCTTGGTTGTTTCTTTTGCTGTGCAAAAGCTTTTTAATACGATGAGATCTTAGTTGTTGATTCTTTGTGGCAGTTCCTGTGTGATGGGTGTTTTGTTATAAAATCTGCCTACACCTATATCTTAAAGAGTTTTACCTATTCTCTCTTCCAGCAGATTTGGTGTTTCTGTTTTAACATTTGATCCAGTTCGATTTTAGTTTAGTGCGCGGTGAGAGGTGTGAGTCTAGTTTTAATCTTTGGCATGTGGAAAGCCAGTTTTTCCAGCACCATTTATTAAAGAGGTTATTTTTATTTCAGTGAAGGTGTTTGGCTCCTTTGTCGAAGACTACATGGCTGTGTGTGTTTGGAGTTGTTTCTGTATCCTCTAGTCTGTTCCACTGATCCTTGGGTCTGCTTTTTTTTTTTTTTCTCCCCCGAGTACCATGCTGTTGTTTTGTTTTGTTTTGTTGTTTTGGTACTAGGGATCAAACTCGGGTCCTAGTGCTTACGAGGCAGGCGGCAGAACCACTGAGCTAAATCCCCAGCCCAACCATGCTGTTTTTATCAAAGCGGCTTTGTAGTATAATTTCAGGTCAAGGATTGTGATGCCTCCTTCCTGGCCTGTGTTGCCCAGAATTTCTTTGGATATTTTAGGTCTCTTCTGGTTCCAAATGAATTTTAGGACTGTTTTCTTTAATTCTGTGAGATAGGCTGTTGGTGTTTTCTTTGGGATCACATTAAATCTGTATAATGGTTTTGGAAAGCAAGCCACTGATTCTTGACAAAGGAGTAAAAAGTATATGGCAATCGCTTCTCGGCCTTTTGGCTAAGATCAAGTGTAAAAGTATATGGCAGCAAAGATCGCCTCTTTAATAAATGGTGCTGGTAAAAGTGGATATCTACTTGTAGATCCTTACCCATCACATTGTGCATAAATCAATTCAAAATGGATTGAAGACCTTGGTGTAAGACCCGAAACCTTGAAACTTCAAGTGTTCTCACTTGAAGCCACGGGCACAACTAAAGACTTTGTGAATAGGACTCCAGTAGCATAGGAAATAATAGCAAGAATCATCAAACAGTACTGCATCAAAGGAAAAAGTTTCTGTACAACAAGGTAAATAACCAACAGAGTGAAGAGACAGCCAACAGAATGGAACAACATCTTTGCTAGCTATTTTTCCAACAGAGGATTCATGTATAGGACGTATAAAGAACACACCAAAAAACTGAACACCAAAAAAAAAAAAGAAAAATCAAATAGCCCGGTCAATGAGTAGACAAATGAACAGACTCTTCGCAAAAGAAGTACAAATGGCCCATAAGTATTTGAAAAAATGTTTAGCATTTTTTTTAGACAGGGTCTTGTTGTGTTGTTCAGAGTGTTCTTAAACTCATTATGTCGCCCAGGCTGACCATGAACTTGTGGCAATCCTCTTGCCTCAGCTTCCTGAGTGTTGGAATTATAGGTGTCAGCCACCACTCCCAGCAGAATCTTTAGCTAGTAGAGAAATGCAAATCAAAACTATGTCGAGATTCCATCTCATCCCAGTCAGAATGGCTGTCATCAAGAATAAAAAAACAAGGGCTGGGAATTTAGCTCAGTAGCCCTGCACCTGCCTCATAAGCTCAAGGTCCTGAGTTTGATCCCTAGTACTGGAAAAAAACAAACAACAAAACAAAACAAAACAAACCTTACAGAAAGTAACTTTTGCTGGAGATTTAGCTCAGCCGCACCATGCCTGCCTTGCAAGCACAAGGTCCTCAGTTTGATTCTGGTACCAAAAGAAAAAACAAAACAAAACAAAACTGTAAACTGAGCATAGTGGCACAGGCCTGTAATCCCAGCACTTTGGGAGGCTGAGGCAGGATAATCAAAAGTTTATTGGGCAACTCTGACTTAGCAGGACCTTGCCTCTGAATTAAAAAAAAAAGTAACAAAAAATTTTAAAATGGCTGGAGATATAGCTTAGTGCAAAAGCTTAGGTTTTATCCCCAAGGACTGAAAAACAGAAACAACAACAAAAACAAAACAGTCAGTGCTGGCAAGGATGCAGGGAAAAAGGCACTCTTGTACACAGGGAAGATGAATTAGTATAGCTGCTATGGGAATCAGTAAGGGGCTCCTCAAAGAACGAAAAGAGTTACATTTTATCTCCTTATACCACTCTTTGGTATATACCGAAGGAACAAGTCAGCATACTGTAGAGCACCCGAACACCCATCTTTATTGTGGCACAACTCACAGTAGGCGTGAAGCCAGCCTAGGTGCCCAGCAAGAGACGAATGGGTAATGAAAATGCGACACAGACACGTGATGGAATATTACTCAGCTGTAAAGAAGAATGGGATTATGTCATTTGCAGGAACATGTTAGATGAAATAAACCAGACTCAGAAAGAAAAGTATCAGGTTTTACCTAATACATGGAATCTATAGATGACTAGAAAGTAGAAGGGAGACTTTACTGGACAAGAAGAAAGGGATGCGGGGGTACAAGAGGGATAATCAAGAGGATAAATATGATCACCATATATGTATGTCTTAAAATACCACATGGAAATCTGATATTCTGAAAAATTAACAGGCACTAATAAGAATATACTTGACAGTTTTCCTTAAAAAATTAAAAAATGTGTTGCACAGTTACAACAATTTAAAAAACTTTTCAAATACAGTTTTAATTAAGGTTTCATTGGTTTAGAGTTTCACAGTTTCCATCGTCTTAGGTGTTAAAATTTTCCTGAACCACTGTCCTTATTGCATATGTACAGAAGTGATTCTTTGGTTATGTGGTATTTTATTGAAATGATGATTTTTGCTTTTCCCATTTTTTTGTATCTAAAAATGGAAACAAAGCTTTTGTACATAGGGAGGGGATAAAATAAAATTTATTAAAAAATAAAATACTAGTATCTGGGTGTGGCGGTCCACAATTATAATCTCAGCACTCTGGGAGGCTGAGGCAGGAGGATCACAAGTTTGAGTCCAGCCTGGTCCATTTAGTGACTTAGACTTTGTCTAAAAAATAAAAAGGGCTGGGGATGTAGCCCAGCGCAAAGGCACTGGTCACTAGTAATAATAGTGACTCCCTCATTGTGATTAAACACCAGCACCTTCCTCCCCCGCGCTATCTTCAGTATGAATTCCCAGCAGCAGCCCCGCTTTAGCAGGCCTCAGTCCTGAGCCCTTGCACGCGGATCCCCTCAGGAGGGCTCACCGAGGGAGCAAACGGCCAACAGCTAAGACAGCTGGTGTGCTTCAGGGCGTAGATGAGCTAAAGCCCATCCCCACAGCCCACGGTCAGCAGTTATTCAGACAGGGCCTGTACTTGAGCTTGGGAGCAGAAGTGTGGGGTGGAAGAGGAAGATCTAGAATAGATCCAGCAGCGATGGAATAAAAGGACCAGACCAGATGGGGGCTGTAAAGCTATCCAGTAGAGAAAAGAGGATCCCGGAGGGAGAAATGAGAGCTTCTTCCCGTCCGAGCAGCAGGCAAGGGGACAGAGGTCCATGGGACCCTGAGAGAGGCAGCGGTGGACTGACGAGTGACCCAGTTTAAAATTCACGCGTGCTCATTTTCCTCAGCACGCCTCAGTGGTCGGGATCGCTCACAGCCGTGCCCACGGTCTGTGCTGCTTCTGTGAGCCCAGCAGCGAAGCGAGAAGCCCTGTGGCAATGGGAGAGGAGAGGAGGACGGTGCGGGCGCTCCTGCAGTGCAATCTCAATGACAAGATGTGTCGTAAGTACAGACAGACTGGGGTCCGACTTGACGTCCGCTGGAGAGGAAGGCGACGGTGATGACAGTGGGACCGCAGGCCACTGTCTTTGGAGAGGAGGGGTGAGTGCAGGCAGAGATCCTCAGATAGTGAAGAAATGAGAGAGAGGCGCAGCACACACTCGATGGATAAGAAACAGGGACTCCAGGATTTCTACTAGAGGGACAGGCGGAAAAGACGACGTTCACGTGTGATGGAGGGAGACTGGTGGGCAGGGGCGTTGCGTGGCATCAGGACGGGCCTCTGAATTCCTCTCCCTCCCCATGTGCCTGCTCAGTTGTACAGGGGGAGGAGTATGCAGTGGTCATTATCCCAGTTCTGATGGTCGGTACCTTCCTCATCCTTCTTGCTGTCATCCTGTGGCTATTTATAAAAGGACAAAGATCCCAACAGCAGCGTCCTGGACACCGAGGTAAAGCTCAAATCCTGGGTTAGGCAGAGCTTAGAGAAGATGCATAGGGGGAAATGTGGGCCAGATTTCAATGGGCTCAAGGCCAGGAATCTCAGGGCCTGAAATGGGAGAAGCGTGGGTCTCCTCCTGGGCAGCCAAGAAGGGTCCTGAGCTGGATCCGCACACAGGCTTGGTGACCAAGAGAAAAGTAGGCAAGAGGGACCTCCAGCAACTACTTCTGGACTATCGATCCTTTGACTATAACAGGATATAAGAATCAAGAGGAAGCTCTAGAGGGGAGAGCCCAAGGGTTTGTTGACATCTTTGGAGGCTAAGATTTGACTCGACATATGTCCCATCCCTACCTTCCCTTCGAAAACATCTGATGAGAAGAGGGACCTTAAGGCTAGACTTTGAAGTTTAGGAAGGAGATGCTGATGGCGCCCCTCTAAGATACCATTGATAATACTCTCATAGAACAAAAGGGAATTAGCTCTGTCTAAGGGAGAAGGGGAAGTGGGAAGGGGAGGGGAAAGGAAATAAGGGAAAAGAAAAAATGTGAAAAAGGGAAAAAATGGAAACAGTCTTTGTAAATAGGGCTAGGGGCTGAAGGAAGGGCTGGGGAATGGGGAAAAATTATAAGAACCAAGATACACCATGTAAAGGCGCAAGATTCCAATGATAAATGTAACTGCATTGTTCACCTTAAATGTACTAATACACTTAATGGGGAAAAATAAAAGAGAATCAGCTTATATACAAAACTAAAAAGAAGCAGTTACATAAAATTCTATCTTTTTGGATCCTTAGTTCCTTTGTAAATTTTATGCCTATTCTTTTAAACTTCACTTCTATAGAAATCCTCTCAAAGTTGTTTAAACTCCTTGTAATTTCCCATCGTACTCTTTTTGAACCCATTGAAATAAAGCTCGTGTTCCTACTCTTTCCAAGCTCAGCGATGCTGTGTTCACTAATCTGATGATCACTTTATCTATTTATCTATTTATTTATTTTGGTACTGGGGAATCTAACTTGGGACCTTGCACTTGCGAGGCAGGCAGCCGGAACCACTGAGCCAAGTTCCCAGCCCTTGATGATCACTTCTTAGTTCTTATCTTACTTGGCCTGTAAAACTCCTTAGAAACAATTTTGCACTTCTGCTTCCTTGGAATATTTCTGAAAAAGACTTAAAGTCACCTTATAAATGATATAGTTTTCAGGGCTGGGGATTTAGCTCAGTGGTGCTGCCTCCTGTCTCACAAGTGCCAGCTCCCCAGTTAGTTTGATCCCTGGTACGAAAAAAGAAAGAAAAAAGAAAAAAAAAAAGATATATAGTTTTCGTTCCTTTGGATTTAAATACCTTTTCTACTCTGACTGTGGTTGCTGGAACTCCAGATTCTTATATTAAAGCACCTGTTTTGTAGTTTCAATGTAATACACATCTCATATGCAATATGTCCAAAACAAAAGTCTTGAAATTCCCTCACAAGTGTCTTCTTTTGTCTCATTAAATGACAAGTCCAGCTTTCTGTTTTCAGTCTAAACCCTAGAAGTTATCCTTGACTCCCCTCTTTTCTCTCACAGCCCTTGTCCAGTCCATTAGCAAAACTATAAATAGTAAACCCAAGTCACTGTCCCTTCTCGCAGGTTATTGTGATACACCCCTCACTTCTTTGCCTACTTGGTTCCTACCTGCCTCTTTATGCTGTTTTCCTCTAGACGAGCCAGTGTGATTTACCTCTCAGATCCCTACTGAACTCTCCACCTCTAATGGCTTCCTGTCTTACTCAGAACGAAAGGAGACAAAATTCCGCCCAGGGTCTTAGGTGATCCAGGACTCTCTGGCTTTATCTCCTTCGACTCTCCCATGATTCACTTCAACTTTCCCATGATTCACTTGGCTCCAGCTGCCCTTCTTCTTTGAAGTTCCTTAAATTTATCAAGTACAGGCTTAGTGCTTTTGTACATCTTGTTCCCTCTGTCTATAATACTCTCCTTAACACCAGCATGGTTTGTTCCCTAATTTTTTCCAAGTCTTTCTCAAATGTCATCTTCTCAGAAAGGCCCTTCTTGACCTTCTTACGCTTGCAGAAAATAACGCTGATGATGTCTGTTGTCACTTTCCTCCGTAAGACCCTCCGCCTCATACATTATTATCTACACTATGTCTACAAAGTTATCTCCTTGAGAGCCTAGACTTTGCCTATTGAAAATCCCAGAACAGTATATGTGATATTTGTTGAATAAATGGATGAATTAATGAGTTATTTTAGATTTAATAGTAAGAACACCTTTCTTTTGCTAATGGAGGAAAATCATTTTGGCTAAAGGAGATAGAAAATGTCAGGAGAGTTTTGTGACCAAGATTCAAAGAAATATGAAATATCTTAACTTTTAGGACAACTCAAGAAAGAATAACCACAGCTTGTAGATGAGAGGATATCCATAATTTTCTTTCAACTTTAGAAGCCGTGACTGGTTTAAATGATAGTCTCTACCGGTGGTCACACCATCTGTAGGCATATGTGGTTTGGGACCTACTCAGGTACTCCCTTGTCTCTGTACAACACACTTGAGGAGAACATCACTTGTGATCCCGAGGAAGACAGAAAGGAGATGTAGTGACCAGTTTCTAGGGGTGGATCTCGAGTTGCCCTAGAAGGAATGGAGAGTATTAGAAAGGCTCGGCAAGCTTCCTGTTGACACTTGTTCACGGAGAACTACTGGAAGACGACCTTACTCTGGCCAAAGAGAAAACCGCTGTAGGAACTTCCTGGCTGGTTTCTTATAGGTTCCTTTCTTTTATAGAATTCCCACAGTGTTCCTGTCACCTCTCTGTTCTAGCCATTGCTCCCGTGCCTGCATCAAGGGGCCTAACCTGGGAAGCAGAAGGACATGGAGGAAAAGTGGCCATGCCGCTTACGGAGACATCAGTGGAAAGCTTTCTACGGACTATCACGCCTTCCCTAGCTAAGCTACAGGTTCCCCGGGATCAGGTCTCTGAAGATCTGGAGCAGATCCATAAGGGCAGTTGTGGGACCACCTATCGAGCCACAGTGATCTCTGGGGACCCTGCTAAGCCCAAGAGTGTTGTCGTCAAGGCTTTGAAAGGTAAGATGAGAAGGCCTAGACTTCCTTTTTATTTCTCTCTAGGAAGCCCCTTACAATAAATGTTCATAAGCTTTGCAAATTTGGAGTAAGATTTTGAGATTGTTTTTTCATTTTTTTTCACTGTTTAAATCCTTTTCCTAATTTTTCCTCTTTCTTTAACTCTTCCTCCAAAACAAAGGTAAGGTAGGCAAGAACATTAGCCAAAAAGCCTACACAGTGGTAATGTTTTGTTTTCGTTTTTTTCAAGACAGGATCTCACTATGTAGTTCAGACTACCCTGGAACTCACTATTTAGCCCAGGCTGGTCTCAAACTTGCAGCGATCCTCCTGCCTCAGCCTCCAAAGTGCTGGGATTACAGGTGTGTGCCACCACACCGGGTGACAGTGATAATGTTTTAATATAAGCAGAACATTTGTCTGTTTAGGGAAAATAAAGCTTATTCAGTGTAAGATCTATGATTCTATGTTACATTTGACAAAAGGCCAGTGACTTTGAACACCAGTTTTTCCGAATTAGTCTTCTTTATATTACTTTCAGTCTGCACCTTCTCTCCCATGAGGCCTTGGGAATTACCATCCAAAGCTGCTCACTGCCCCAGCTATTCTGTCCTTTGCAGAGCCAGCTGGGCTTCAGGAGGTACAGGATTTCGTGGGGCGAATCCAGTTTTATCAGTACCTAGGGAAACACCAGAACCTGGTCCACCTGGAAGGCTGCTGCACAGAAAGGCTGCCAGTCTATATGCTGCTGGAAGACGTGGTCCACGGGGACCTGCTCAGCTTTCTCTGGACTTGTCGCCGGGTGAGCAGTAGGGTAGAATTGTCGGAAGGGAAGAGCTTGACCGGTTGATTAGCTGTTCACATGTCAGTTAGGATCACAAATGACAAAATCTAGCGGGAATGTAATAGTGTAACAGTAATTCAAGTACCATTGTCCAATAGAATGACTTTCAAAGATAGGAAAGTTCCACATCTACCTGATCACTGGTAGCCACTAGTTACATGAAGTTATTAAACACCTGATGTGGTGGATGTGACTGAGAAATTGAATTTTAAATTTTATTTAATTTTAAATTATGTAAATTTAAAAACACATGAGGCAGATGACAAGTGTATAGGGCAGTGCAAATTTAGAGTATGGGCTCTTGTCTCTGTCTACTAGCTCTGTCACTTGTGATGTTACCTCTTTGATTTTGAATTTTTAAAATTTGTTTAATGGGAGTCATAACACATTACAAAAAAAATCAAGACATTATATGTGTAAAAACAGATGTGATTGGAACTTAGGAAGTCCTCAAAATGATAGCTGTTACAATAATTATGTAGCACAAGTATTATCAGTCTTGCTTGTCATTCTTTTATCATTACTGTTATCATTCTGTAACATCGGCCTAGTACGCCAGGGCTGATGAGGGGCAAGTTCAGCTTGTGAATTTCTGTAGCTCAAACTTGTATTTCTAAAAATGTTTAGAAATGCTCATCTGAAATGGAGGTCTTGTCTCTTACAAATTCCTCAGTTCTCTATTCCTTTTTCTGGAGAGCTACGTAATTCTGTATTTTCTCACTTGCTAGTGAGCAAGTTTAATATTAACTGAACTTCCACAATATGCTAATTAATGTATAACTAAAGTTGTACAAAAAGGGTTCATGTCTTTTGTCCAGTAATATAAATAGGACAACATGCAGATCTTTAGGCATTTTAAATCTTTTAGGGGGTTATCTATCTTGACTTGTTCTGTGCTCTAGTCAACCTTGTTTCTTTTCATTTTATACAACTACCATGCTTCTGTATTTCGGATCATCTTCATGTACTTTTCTTAATACATTAGACCTCCTCCTTCTCCTGCTCCTCTTCCTCCTCTTCTTTGCTGCTATGTCCATGCATCCTGCAGACATCATCAAAAGCTTTCTCATTCTCTTCAGTGAATTAGCTTTCCTCATTCCGCCATCTCGTACTCTCTTCTTGCTTTGTGTATTTCCTTCATGGGACCTCAGAGAAGGCAATCATTTGCTTATATACGATTATATATATACTTATATACTGATTCTAATTCATGCATATCGGCCATACGATAACCATAGCAGCAGCTATGTTTATTTTGCTCACTCTTGTGAAAGTGGCACAGTATGAACCGTCAATAAAGATGCTTTGTGCTAATGTATTAAGTTAACCACGTGTGCCTGCGTGCACACACACATATGCACACACTGCCCCCGGAAAGCTCTCTCTCTCAGTGGATAGCCTGACACATACTCTTACTTTCCTGTCACGCTTCTTCATTGTGCTTCCAGTCCAGTGACTTACATATTCCTATGTATTTCAAAATCTTTCATATTACTCTCTTTGATTCTTTTTTTTCAGCCTCATACATAAATTATTTAGTTTTTTTCCTCCTTCTGCAGACTTTTTTTTTTGTACGGGGGATTGAACTCAGGTCTTTGCGCTTGCAAGGCAGGCCGCCAAACTGCTGAGCTAAATCCCCGGCCCAGTCTCTTTGATTCTTAATCTTTGTTTCTGTATGTTTTTCTTAGCTTGGATATCTGCGTTTCAGAGTATCTCTCCCATACTCCCATACTTTAAAACATTGCCTATGTTAATGCCACTGATATAATGCTTTTTTCTCTGTTTAGGATGTGATGACCATGGATGGTCTTCTCTATGATCTTACGGAAAAACAAGTCTATCACATTGGAAAGCAGGTCCTTTTGGCTCTGGTAAGTTCAGGCAACAGATGATGGGAATTTTTCTTATTAGCTTAGCAATTGATGCACGATTCATATAAATACTTATATTACCAAATAGAGTATTAATTTTAAATAAATGAGATAGAAGTTAGGGGACAGTCACTGAAGTAATGATAAATTGTTTTCCATTCTTCTTCATATAAATCATTTAGATAATATAGGATTGGCAATTCCAGGCAGAAGGCAGTCAATTTAGAGTTTACAGGAGGAACAGGAAAAATAAAATTTTACTCACCTTAAAGTTTAAAAGCCAGGGCAAAGAGCTATAGGCCCTCTGTCTTGGGTATACAAACATTTAAAAAAACGAGAAACAAGTGAAAGAGGAGGAATGAGAAGAGGCAACTCTTTTTATTGTTACCCAACTTGAAGAGGTAATAGAATTCCAGGATTAAGACAAATAATTTACGTTTCGCAGAATTACTAAGGAAATTTAGATGATTATTTCTATGAAGTTATTCAAAAGTTGTGTTCAAAATTAGCATTTGCTATCGAAGAATTAAGGCTTAGTGAAGCTACTATTTTGCGTATTTGCTTTATCTTTCCACACTTTAATGTGTGATCTAAATGAAATAGAAAACTCAGAAAAAACAACAAACCAAAAGAAGTAGTAAAGTGAGCAAAAAGCAGTGGTCACAGTTGAAGCTCTTAGGCGCCAAGGGAGACAACAGACTATAAATGATTGTCCCCCGCAGTGGCTGCAGTGTGTGCTCACGGATACAGTCGGGGCGTCAGATGCCGCCCACCTTGTCTTCTGGCCACAGTTGCAGAGGTGCCAGGCAGCATGACCTGATGCGTGTGTCAGCGCCCCACATTCCCTGTAACAAGGCGGCACCATACTATTCATCCTCCTTTTCAACAACTTCCAAGGCTGTATATTCCTTAGGTCTTCTCATTACAGCACAATTTATTTATCCTAAAACCTCAAAAGAGGCAGAAAACTGCTAGTCACTGTCTTCTTCTCCATCAGTGATTGGAAATTATCACCTTACACTTTTAATTTTCTTACCCCATCCTTCTTTAGTCCTCATAACCCCCATTTCTAGCTCGGCAGTCAGCATAGCACCTCAGCTTCTCCGTATATTTTGAACACCTTCCTGCTGTAGGAAACAATTCTCGAAAAATCTATGTCATAGCAGCAGTGGTTCTTCAATTATTTTTGGTTGTACTAGAATTTTGATACGTGTTTAACATACAGGCCACCTGGTCTTTATAGATGATGCCTGGGGTGAAAATTTTACATTTTACAAAAGCTCTCGGGCAATTCTAATTTAGATCCTGGCTTGGGGCGCTGGGGATTTAGCTCAGTGGTTCTGCCGCCTGCTTCGCAATTTCAAGGACCCAAATTCGATCCCGATCCCAGTACCAAAAAACAAACAAACAAAAACCACAATAGATCCTGGCTTGGGAATTATTAGTAGAGTTTTGGTAGTACTTTCTATGTAGTGAGACACCTGGTTTTGTTCACTGTCACTTAGTAACTGTGTGGCCTTGTGTACTCATTTAGATTTATCTGAAAGATACCCTAACTTACCTCATCCAGTTCTTTTAGGGACAAAGTAACATAACATAAAACTTTAAGTACCTTCCTTCCTTCCCTCCTCCCCCTCCCCCT